AGGCAAGACAATGTGGATACAGCTATAACAATCTGGCTGTCCAAGCTAGCACATTCAAAGCAATCTGTTATCTCTGCTTTGCACTAGATTATGCTGTATGAATACAACCTAGGTGATGAAACCACATAAATCCCAACCACTTGAAATGAGACATAGACTCCTAAGTTACTCATGCAATTTGAACAATACTACTCAAACTCAATTCTCTAAACTTTTGAGGGAGCAGAAAATACTGAGAATGTTTTAGGATTGTGCAACATGAATGTCTTAGTGTGCCTCGCAGTGTACTTGCAGCCAGTTTTTTAACAGAATCTCTGGGTTTTGCTTATTGGGCACTGTGGTTAAGTGAATCCTGAGTCCAGCTGTTTGTAAAACAATTTATTTCATGTTTCTCTCAGCAAACGTAGTTCAGAGATGTTCATACAATTGGTACTTGCAGCCCTGCTTTCTAGGGAGTACAGCCCTTTTCCCTCAATATTTGGCCTTCTGAATGACTTTCTTTTGGCAGCCTGCCAGAACTTAAGTTTGGAAACCTCACTAGCATTTTTCTTCTGTAATGAACTTCTAATTAGTGTATTTCATTTCTCTATTTAGTTAACAATCGTGCCTGGCTGCCTCTGTGTTCAGAGAAGCATAGATTACTATTTTTAGTAATGTTGAAAATAAATTGAGAAACTCTTAATTTTGGATTGTTGCCTCCCCCCCCTTCATTGTCAGGATATATTTTAGCATATGTTAAAAAAAAAAAACAAAAACCAAAAAACAAACAAACCATAATCTGTGCCCAGGTTAAAAATATGTGTATTTGTATGTATATTTGCATTAAGTAAGAAAATAATATGAATTATGCTACACATTTTTTTAAAGTAACATTAAAGATTCCTATCTTATTAGGGTCATTCAGGTAACCTTTTTTGATTTCTTGTTTTCTTTTTTCACTGTTTGGCCTTCTTTCTTATGTAGTGCCAAGAAAGCATCCAGTGCTAGTAAACATCCTGCCTGATTAAACCTCTTTAGCCCAGCTAGTGGGTATGCTGCAGCACTGGAAAATTCTACTGGTGTTGACATGGTTCATGTAATTCATACATTCACACTCTGCAAAACAGGTTGAGTTGCTTGTTGAGTTTTCAACACTAATATGCCTATCAGTGACTTTTCTCAGAAGTAAATAATCCCATTGTTGCAAACACAAAGGAAAAAAAAAACACCTACATGTTGTGAGTAATAAGCAGAAAATAGAGCGGCGCTCAAGTGTGAGAGGAGTTGAACTGCCAAAGTCCCTTGTATCATATTGAAAATGTAGGGTCAAATTGCTGAGTTTAACATACTATGCACACATCCCACCTCAAGTTTCTTGATTGAAAAAAAGTTTCAGTGAGAGTTATTTTGGCACACAGGTGCATACACTCTGACCTCTTATATGGTAAGACTTTCCTATAGATGAGTAGATGTTATGATCTCCTAGGCTGAACTTTGTCTGCTACATAGCCTGTGTCTGGAAAGGAGAAAGTTAATAATGCAACAATATTGCCTTCTAGGTCGTTTTACCTTCCCTGGCATGTTTGAGGCTAGCAGTGTATGAAGAAGGAGGGAAATTTATTGGTCATCGGATATTACCAGTCTCAGCAATTCGACCAGGTAAACCTTTTTCTCCATTGAGACAGACATTGCGTAGTGAAAAGAAAGAGCAAGCCAGGAGCCCAACTGCTGTAAGTCATCAGACACTCTGCAGATTTGTAGTAACTGGAGATTTGAATAATCTATCTCAACTTTGAAAAGGAAAACGCCATATTTCACCAGACATTTACGTTTGTAATGATCCAAGAAAACCAACAGAATTAAATCATCAGAGGCATGGTTGGCACTTAACTCGTCTCCATTAGATGAATCGCACACTCACAGGTTTATGCTAAAAAGTGCAACTGTACACTTTTAACAGTAATAAGGGCAGCAACAGACAGTTTTGATGTCACCCTTTGTGAGACTGGGAGATAGCTGGGAATGAAAGCAAAATATGCTCCTCTAGTATAATTTTTATATACATACAAGGACTGACCTATATGCGAGCTCTCGTATCTCTCTAACACCTTTAAATCAACTCAAAATTACTTTCATCTTCATTGCTGAAAATGAAAAAAAAAATCATTACTAGTCTCTTCTAAATCGTATTATTATTTCTATTATAATTAGTGGCCACTTAACTGAAAATTGTCTTGTGTGACAACTCAGCCCCAATTTTCCAGGCCAGAGATCATGTTTCAGAAAGATGCAGTGACATTGGCATGTTGTGTAAGAGAAGTGTCCAACTTCAATGCCAGCTTTTCCAATGAAGGAAAGGGAGGAAACTAAATTAGGGCAAGCATATGGGCCATAAACACGCTCCCAGCTTCACTCACAGTGGAAAAGGAGGAATATCTGTACATACCCTGCACAGTATCTAGCCAGTCCCAGCCATAGCACAAAGCTCACATGTCCCTTAGCTAACAGTTGTTGTCCATATTTTTCCTGAAGACCTGATCTTAGGTAATGTATAAATCAGTCCTTTCTCTTGTGGCAGGTGATGCCAGGGCTCTTCTAAGAAGAGCTCCAAATGGTTTTGTCTTAGCTGGTGTGGGTTGCGTGGCCTCACTGCAAGTGCAAATGGGCTGGCCATGGGAGGTGGTTGCTGGGCCTGTCACTGCTCCAGGATTTCTTCACCAGTCATCACTTCTCTTT